TGAGTTGGAAGCTAGGTCTGAGGAAATCACTCAGAATGCATCACAAAGAAATAAAAGAGGTAGAAATATGAAGGAAAAGTTAAGAGACATGAAGGATGAAGAAGCCATGTACATTTCTAATAGGGGTTTTTGTAGTAGAATCTTATGAAAACGATTCAGGCATCAATTTCATTGAGTGTACGTCTTAAAATTCTAAGGGTGGACTCTAAAATGATAGTAATAGAATGTATTAACTTCCAAATCATCAAAGAAAAACAAGATTAAAGAGTCTGTTAAATACAAAGTAAGAAAAGAAAAAAATAAAGAGGAAGTATGTCCATTTATGTCAGTAATCGTAATAAGTGCAAATGGATGAAACGTGTATTAAAAGATATTCTCAGATTGGATGGGACGAATGGAGCAAAATAAAGCAGCTATAGGCTATTTAAAGCATTGAGGTGCAGTGAATTACTTAATATGGCCCTTCAAGCCATGGTCTTTGTGACTTCCACAAAATAATTGGGTGGGACTATGCAAGTAAGATGTTTGTGGCCCACCAAGAGGATTGGACAACCTGCTAATAATGCAGATAAGGCATGGAACCCTTGTGGGGGTTGGACCATGCACATAAGGTGTATGGAACCCTAATGAAGGGATTGGTCAGTTTTGCCATCCTGCTAGGCTTAAAAGGAGCCAGTCCCAGAAGGGAAAAAAAGAGGACCTTACTACCATCAAGAAAGAAGAGCTGGGAATGGAGCACATCTTTTGGACCCAGGATCCTTGTGCTGAGAACCTCCTCGATCCAGGAGACAGAGCTGTAACACCAGAGACGGCAGGAGGCGGTGGCAGACATGGCAGAGTCCAGCGGTAGAGAAATGGCAGCAGCAGAACTAGGAGATCGACACCAGATAGCTGCAGTAGTTTTCCCAGTCCACCGAGTGAGGCAGCTACAGTGAGCATGCCAACCCATGGAGTGAGAGAGCTGAACGTCTTTGGGCAGAAGGCTTGCTGGCTGATTGGGGTCCTTCCAGGCACTTACTGGCAGAGCTAACAGAGCTTTGTAACACTTGCCTGAGCAGGGCAAATGCCAGGCCAAGGGCTGAGGGCAGAGAGAGGCCTGTCCTCAGGGGGCCGAGAGAAGCTCTGCATGGCCGAGAGGATCTGAGACAGCTTTTCGCCCTGAAGAAGGGAGACTTTGCTCCATGCTTCCTGATCCTGAGTTGTAGCCTATTGATTCTGATCCCAAGTTGTAAGCTGTTACTTCCCTGATAAACCTTGTAACTGTGAGTGTGATCCGGGAGTTCTGTGTGGCCATTGCAACAAATTATCAAACCCAGCAAGAAGTAGAGAGTGCCTTGGCAGGGGCAGTGGGTGTCAGAATTGGTAAAAAATTTGGAGGGTGGAGGTATGTTTAACCTCCACCTCATAGGAATCAGTTTTGGGCTGATGCTGATGGTGATTCTCCCCCACCCCCGTCCCCTCCCTGGCTTTTGAGGAGTTAGACAAGGCGGTCTGAAGCCACTGCCGCCGCCAAATCAGTTTTACAAGCATAGAAACCAAAACCAAACTTGTTGGTGTTGAGTCGATTCTGACTTCTGGTGACCCTATAGGACAGAGTAGAACTGCCCCATAGGGTTTCCAAGACTGTAATCTTTATGGAAGCAAGTTGCTACATCTTTTCTCCTGCAGAGCAGCTGATGGGTTTGAACCCTGGCCTTTTGGTTAGCAGTTGAACGCTTAAACACTGTCCCACAAGGGCTCCATTTAAAGTGCAGTGATCCAGAAAGGTTGAAAGTAAAAGGATGAAAGACAGTATACAAAAAAGCTGACATAGGCATTAGTTTATTGAATCAATGTTACAAACATTAGGTAGATATCTATCAGGGCAATAGATTTTAAAATTCTAAGGCATTTTTATATAGAAATAATGGAATACTATAAACAGAATTCTCACCTTCCATGCGGGAGATGCAGGTTTGATTCCTAGTCAGTGCACCTCAAACACAGCCACCACTTATCTGTCAGTAGAGGCTTGTATGTTGCTGTGATGCTGAACAGGTTTTAATGGAACTTCCAGACTAACACTAGGAAGAAAGGCCTGGCAATCTAGTTCTGAAAATCAGCCAGTAAAGACCCTATGAATCACAACGATCCAATCCTGTTGTGCATAGGGTCGCCATGAGTCAGGGTCAACTTGGTGGAAGCTAACAACAACTCTTAAAATGGATGAACTGAGTTCATATGTATTAGTATGGATAAATCTAGAAAATACACTGAGTGAAAAAAGCAAGTTGCAGAGTATATATATACCTTCCTGTTGAAAATATCCCTTTTCTTGTTGTTTATACTTATTTAGTAAGTTTAATACTTATTTAATAAGCTTACTGTCGTTATTATTAGTTGTTTATTTTTTGTACCATTTAACATTTATGATATTATTTTATATTGTAAAAGGTCATAAAAAAGGACTTTGTCTCAATTTTGTCTGAGGCTCCTGAAGGCTGAGAACAAAACAATAGGTATCAAATGATATTCGCAAATGAGGTTCTAGACCATCTATGCAGAACCTGTGACGGCAGTACATAAAGACCAGTTCTGGAGTCTTTAACCCATCAGCCACCATAGGCTATAAAGAAGAGTGAATTTAAAGGAAGAGAGAAAATTCCTTTGGATAAAGTGAGAGTGCTGTGGCATTCTGCTTGAAGAACTTGTTAGTCCCTGGAGCTGGCAGACCCAGAGACCAGAACTGTGCCTGGGAAAGTCTAAACACAGAGTGGCTGACTGATGCCAGAGAGAGAGAACAGGTAGCTGCATTGGAAAGGCTGTTACCCTCAGAATTTTTCAGGGCAAAGATGTGAGCAATAGTGGGAGAAAATGCTGGCTGGCCTGGAGTTGAATTAAAGGGACTGGGCCCATAAAGATCCTTGGAAGGGGCAGTGAGACCCCAACAGAGTCTGTATGCAGTGGGTTGCCAAAAACTGGGGACTTAGGGTGGACTTGTAGGTGGCTGGCTGAAGAGGCATTGCCCCACATTGTAGGAACTGCAGGTGAGAACTAAGCTGGAGCTCCACAATGGGAGATTGCCAAGGAAACACAAAAGTACCCCATAAGAGAAAAAGAAAGTCTACTTTAAATATCTGTGAAGTCCAGGGAATATGAAAGCCTGTTTAGCATAGTATCGCAACAGAAAATGAGGCTTTTGCTGTCCCCTACCTCTCTTCCTCTTCCTAGCATTGACTCTGGAAACGTCAGAAACCAAAGCAGACAAGCAAGTGGGAGAGTAGGAGAAACAAAGATGGGAAAATAGAACAGTCAGACATGCCCATTGCCTTCCACCACAGGTTTCTGAACTGGAAGCAGACCCCAGCCAAGGGAGGAAGATGAGACTTTTTGGGGATGACTTTTTATCAAATTATCACATGTGTATAGAAAAGTATACAAATCATAAGTGTACCTCTTGTTAAATTTTCACAAATTGAATACATCTATCACCAGCATCCAGATCAAGAAACAGGACATTACCAGAAGCCCCCTTCTGCCCCCTTCCTGTCCCTAACCACCCACCATCCCAGGGCAATAACTATCTGAGACAAGATTTTTTTGTAGTTATACTTTATTTTTTGTCTCCCAGTTTACTTTTTTTTTTTATTCTTTATTGAAATAATTTCAAAACTATAGAAAAGTTGTAACGTAAGTCCAAAGAACTAAGAGTCTACACGAACCATGACCTCATCTACCCTGACACCAGAAGAACTAGATGGTGCCCAGTTACCGATACCTACTGTTATGATCAGGAACGCAATAGATGGATGCTGATAAAATGGGAGCAAAATGTGCAACAGAACTCAAATCCTTAAAAAGTCCAGACTTAACTGGACCAGTTGAGACTGAAGGACTCCCAGAGACTCTGTCTCTGAGATGGTCTTTAAACCTCGAACCAAAACTATTCCATAAGGTTATCTTTTAGCTAAATAACAGATTGGCTCATAAAATAAACTATCATCCTTGAGTACTTGTTCCTTTAAAAAAATCATCTATTTGAGACCAAATGGTCAACACTTACTCAACTCAAAAGCAAAGACTTCTTAGAAGGCAAGGGGACAGGGAAACTAGAAATTACTGGAAACAGAACAACCAGAATGAAAATAATGAGAAAGCTGACATGTTGTGAAAAATGTAACCAATGTCACTGAACAAATTGTGTAGAAATTGTTAAATGGAAACCTAATTTGTGTAAACTTTCACCAAAAACACAGTAAAATATTTTTAATATTAAAAGAAGAAAAGTTATAACATAGTACAAAGAACTTTCCCATCTCCTTCACTCTGATTCCTTAATTGTTAATATTTTACACTTAATTGAATGATGGATAACAACTGTAAGATATGTAGTTTCTTCTAGAAAGAGAAGAAGGGGAATGAGTTTGGTGAAGGATATAAAGAGACTTAAACTTTGTTTTATTATTATTTTGTATGAAACAGCAAAATGTTAACTTTTTTTCCCATTTTGAGTAGTGGACTACTCTGTACCCTTTTATGTGTTTGAAGTATCTTTAAATAGTTTAAATGAGAGAGTTTGAATTTTATTCTCTAGGAAGAGGGGAACTGTTGAAGTGTGCTTTTTATTGTTGAAATAAACATCTGTTTATGACGTCTCCACTCTTGGTCCTCGCCTATGAATTAAGATACTCATAAGTGAACTGTAGGGTGATTCACCTCAGCATCATTTTTCTTTTCTTCTTATCCTTATGGCCTCTCACTGCTAAGTACCCGGTGGTGTCTGACATGGTAAGATTAAAACTTACACTTTTCCTAATAGATGCAACTCTCTTCCTGATTTGCAATAAGCAGGACCTGCTTTTAAGCAATTACCCATCATTTGGGGGCATTGCACATGCTGTGCTTTGGTTCAGGTCATAATCAATAATTCATATATCAATAGGAGCCCCATTAGCTCAGGTGAAGGCAGATGTCTTTCTAATGAAAATGTTCATTTTCCAAATGACTTTTCTTTTTCCCAGAGAGTTGTGGTTGTAGAAGACATAAAAAGATGGAAGACTATATTGGAGCTTCCTGATCAAACCAAAGAGAATCTAGTTGAAGCCTTACAAGAATTAAAGAAGAAAATACCCTCTAGGGAAGTGTTAAAGTCAACAAGGATAGGTATGTTCCTTCTGAATTTTATGAAAAGTATATATTTTGTCTCTCTCCTTTTTACTTTCCTCCCTTACTCAAACATTTATTAAGTTATCACATCAGCTTCTTAAAATATCTGTGGTGAAGGACTATTGTTTAAAAAAATTCTCCATTGGTCGCAGGCCAATACTTTCATAATATACAATAAAAATTACTGGGAAAAATGAAAATATGCAAAATACAAGTCTCAATTTTTTTATTATTAGATTCAACAGATATAGAATTACTCCATCAAATTGCTATAAAAGCTTCTAAGTGCTAACAATTTATGTACATACCTCATGGGCTGCTAACTGGCAGTGATCTCTGGATAACATTTTATCATAACACCGTTCTATTTCGCAGGACTTGTGCTTGATACTGAGTGTGCAAAATGAATGAGACATAGGTTCTTGACCCCAGGGAACTTACGGCTTGATAGAAATAGGCATAGAGACAAATAGGAGAAGTTAAATACCGTAGGTTATAAATAAAAACATGTAAATAATGTTCTGGGTACCATTCTAGCCTGTACGAGGTATATGCTGGCCCAAAGGACTTAAATCTGGGGAGTTCAGAAAAGGTTTCATAGAGGAGGGGACATGTCAGTTGCATCTTGAAGACTTGCCTTTTTTGTCTTGAGTAGAAATAACTTGCAAAGTGTGGTTTCTAAAAACAATGATAGCAACGCTTGCCGCTGCATCATTTATTACAGCATTGGAGATATTTAAACGGTAAGTCAGGAACTACATGGAATTGCCATTTTAGTACAGTACACAACTGTGAATAATATGCAAGGGAGAGCCAACATGTGTTCCTCAAGCTGCTCCCAACTCCCCAGAGAGTCCAGGGCAGTCATTCACAGCTGCTGTTCTTGCCCTCGCCTGTGCAGCCCTCGCCTTCTCTGCCTCCCCTTGACCTCTTGTTCATGAGAAGCAGGAGAGGGAGCAGCTTCAGACTGGCGCTAACAGCTGGGAAGAGCTGTGTGAAATCCCCAGAGGGCTCCCCAAGAGTCTTGAGAGTTGTGCCCCTGTAATATAAACCAGAATCTGAGAAAATTAGATGCTTAAAGAACATAAAACCCTATCACTGTAGCCAAGGAGATTCTCCCATCTGCTGCTGAATTTTCAGTCTTTATGGGTTGTGGTCACTAGAGGGCAATAAGACCATTGATATGAGCAGATAAGCTATCTCAACCAGTAGAGGGTACTAGTGATTAATATTTTATGACATGTATATATGTACATATGTATATGTATATGTTCATATTTAGGCACACACCACAAATACCATATATGATCAGATCTAAAATAATAGGCTGGAATTGTGTGCAGATGCAGAATGATGATAATTTTTTAAAAATCATTTCTGTTTGGCCTTTCAGTACAATTATGAATATGCTTTCAAGAATGGGTGTGTCTGATGTTCAGAGATTGCAATTCCAGGATCATAATGACACCACAGTGAGGGGGCTTGGCTTAGGAGGAGCTGGAAGCCACCCAGCTTTTGAATCTTAACCCTACCTTAAGCCTTCCCCAAACCTGAGATTGTATGGAATATAGGGATTTCTTGATTCCTTTATAGTTAGTTGCTGTGCTTAAAATTTCACTCTGATTATTGTCTGAGAGTGTTTATATTCTTCAACCTTTAGCCTTCCTGCCTGTCCCTGTCCTGTGGGTTGCAAGGGACAAATATTTACTGAGTACCTTCTTTGTGCTAGGAACTGTGCTGGCATAATGAAGGATGCAGATGTTATTCCCATCTTTTTGAAGCCTGCTGTCTAATGGAAAGAGAGACAATTTATAAGACTTTATCATACTGTGCGATGAGTTTTCTGATGATAGAGAGGAAAGTTAGCCAGATGAGTGTACGTATTGGGAGTAGGGGAGAGGATATTGAAGAATGTGTCAGGCAGGGGGTACATTGTGAGCATGTACAGAGGGGTAGAGGTGGGAGAGAATGTGTACATTTCAGAAACTAAAATAAGTTTGGTGTGTTTGAAATGTAATAGGCTGGAGAGAGAGTGTGTGGCAAGAAATAAGGCTGGAGAGACAGGCTGGGCCAGATGAAAGCCCTTCGTAAGCTATTCAGAACTGTTTGGTCTTGGCATATGTATTAGTTATCTATCACTGCATAACAAATTACCCCAAAATTTAGCAACTTAAGACAATATTTATTGTCCTGCACAATTTTTCTTAGGGTCAGGAATCTGAGAGCAGCTTGGTGGCTCTAGCTCAGGGTTTCTTATGAGGTTTGGGGCTGTGATCATCTGATGGCTTGACCAAGACTTCAGGATCTGCTTCTAAAATGGCTCACTCATAGGTTACTGGCAGGAGGCTTAGCTACTTGTCATATTGACCTCTCCTTAGAATTGCTCATGATATGGCAGTGGGCTTTCCCCAGAGCAAGTGATCCAGGAGAGGGTAAGACAGCAAAAGAACAACCAAGATGGAAGCCATGGTTCTTTTATAACCTAATCTCGGAAGTGACATATTATCACTTCTGTTGTATTCTTTTGGTCACACAGATCAGCCTGGTACAATTGGGGAAGCAACGACACAAGGCTGTGAATACCAGGAGGTAGGAATCATTGGAGGCTATTTTACAGGCCGGCTACTACAGCATGGATTTCTTTTTATTTATCCTAGATACATTACGCTTCCTGGACCTGCAGATTTATGTTCATTTGTAGACAGTTTACAGCCATTTTCTTCAAGAGTGCTGCTTTTCATTTTATCCATTCCCTCCTTCTGAGATTCTACAGTTATAAGTATGTTAGACCTTCTGTCTTCCATATCCCTTAGCTTGTCTGTCATACTTTTTATATCCTTTCTTGCAGCATTCTGGATAATTTCTTCTGATGTATCTTTTCCAAGTCATGAATTCTCTCTTCAGCAAATTAATCTGCTAAATTACTTAAATTCAGAATTTGATTTGCTGTTTAACTCATTCATTGAGTTTATTTCAAAAACTCCATTTTTCAATTTTAGAAATTTCCTTTTTTCTCTTCAGTCTGTTTCTTTTAAATGTTATTTGCACATTCTTGTGATTATACCCTTTATTTACATTTAATGCATAGCTGTTCTGTATTCTTCATCTGACGATTCTAATATTTGCAGTCTTTAGGGATCTAAATCTGTTGTTTATCGCTTCTGCTGACTCCTGTGGTGCTTGCCTTCCCATATGCTTGTTGATTTTTAATTGTGAGCTGATTATTTGATTTTAATCTATGGATATTCTGTGGGACTAAATTGGAGAAGCTTCCCTCTAGAGAGAATTTGCTTCTTCATTTGTTTCTGCCAGTAGTCAGGGGCCACCTCTGACCTGGAATACTTGAGCACACCTCTCAGGGGTCCCAGCTCAGTATGGGAGTCCCAGGATTAGTTCTCCCACCTTACCACTGGCCCAAGGCTAAGTATTTCAGCCTGGTTGGTATTGGTATCAGCCTTTAGCATAACCCCACCCCTCCCTGAGCCTACCCTCTGCTTACTTTTCTGGGGCGAGGGAGGTGGCTTCTATCCAGGATCTAGTTGTACTGCAGCAGTAGGGTAGCTTTAGTCTTCTATAAAATCTGAGAGTTGGGTCTTTGCAGTGTAATGAATCACTTAATATGGCCCTTCTAGCTATGGTCTTTGTGATTCACACACAGTGATTGAGTGGGACTTTGCAAATAAGGTGTATGGAACCTGTGATGGTTGGGGTTATGTGTCAACTTGGGTAGGCCATGATTCCCAATATTGTATGGTTGTCCTCCATTTTATGTGTTGTGGATCCTGACCTCTACATGTTGATGAGGCAGGATCGGTGTAGGGTATGTCTTGTGTTGAAGCCTTGCAGGAGGGCGTGACTTAAGTCCCACCCTTACTCAAGTTACGTCCTTTCCTGGCGTGTGGCCTGCATCTAAGGTATATGTGTGGATGACCTGGCGGAGTTCTCTCTTTGCATCTAGATCCCATGTCTAGTTCATGATCAGTTGACCTCCAGGGTTCTTGGGACTTGAGCCAGAGGCCTGCTGTCTTACCTGCCGATTCTGGGATTTGCTGGCCTCCACAGCCCCATGGGCCATTGGCCTATTATATGACCTGATTTACCAGCTTCCACAGTCTTGTGAGCCAACAGCCTGTGTTCTGAACTGCCAGTTTGGGTTCATCAGCCACTGCAGCCATGTGTGTCGGATTTGGAACTTGCCAGCCTCCACAACCGCGTGAGCCTTTTCTTTTGTATGGTTCATGAGTTCAGTGGCATCTTGCAGCGAATTATGGAACCCAAAGATGAGAGCAACAATACTGAGGGGGGAGGGAGTAGTTGATGTTAGAGATGATGGACTGGTACAGCAGTTTGGAAGAGGTGGACATTTGGAACATCTTTAATCCCCGCCTCATAGGAACCAGCTTTGTGCTGATCCTTATAAAAGAAATTATTCGTTTAGTCTCTATCCTAAGGATAATAGGTGGTTATTATTGAAGGATTTTGAGTGGAGGAATGATATTCAGATTTGCATTTTAGAAAAATCTGTCTGACTGTCATGTAGGAAGAGGGTTGGAGAGAAGCAAACCTACAGGCAGGAAACCCTACTAGGAAGCTACTGAACATATAGATGAGAAATAAAGGTGGCCTGGAAGGGGTGGTAGTGGGGATAGAGAAATGTGCTTGGAATCGAGAGACGTAAGTGGAATAAAATCCAAAGGACCTACAGATTAATTGGATGTTGGGAATGAAGATGAAGGAGTGAAAGCTGAGTGAAATCAGATTTCTGATATGGGCAACTAAATGGATGGCAGTACCATTAAGATAGGGGTCAACAGGTTTGGAGGGGGAAATAATGAGTTAAGTTTTAGATTTATTGCACTAGAGATAACTGTGGGGCATGCAAGAGGAAATGTCCAATAGGCTGTTCGATGCATAAGGCTAAAGCTGAAGAAATACTGTAAATATAGATTTGGGAGTCATCATCAGCATATAGTTAGAAATATATGGCTGGAAATAGA